AAAACCTAATGTATTTTCAATGGGAGTTTCACGAATTTTCTTGTCAATATTCAAACGTGAATATCTTCGTAACCCCATATGATAAAATAATGATCTTTTATACCCAGTGATCTGTCATTCATTCAGGTTTAAGATTCTGAAGTCAGATCTAAGATAGGATTATCCGTTTAGGAATTATCAAGGAAAAACCGACACCAGTTTTGATTGCTCGTAGCTGTATGATTGCCACCAAGGTTATAAAATATCTGTAATGTTTCCAGAATTTACTGTATTTTATTGTCGGCCCATTTTCTGTGTTTTCGAACACAAGTCCACCAAATGTTATGCCATATATAATATGACCAAGTAGGTATACTCAAGATATATAAAAAATACATCAAAATTTTAAGTGTTTATTACTTAGATAACTTTATAATATATAAATAATAGTTTAAATTATTTGTAAATTAATTTGATAAAGTTAATTCTATATTACCAATTAGATTAATAGCATAAGCTAGATAACAAAGTGCAAAAAGTGTTTTAGGTATATTATAAAAGTAGATAGTTAAAATACCTATAAAAGTGTGTTATCTCAAATTCAAAGTGCATTATTGCACTAAAATTAGTGCTTTTGGGTGCAAAGAAAATAAATACTGTATAAATAGAGCTTGATAGGAAAGAGGTTATTTAAAGTTAATAAGTAATACAATTTAAAATCATTTTATAATGAAGTTTATAATATTGTTAGCATTGCTTTCAATAGCAATGGCTTTGAATACCAAAGATTTTCCAATTGATGACTACTTAGCGGTGAAGAACTCGCGTAACTTTACGGGGAAAGTGGTGTTAGTGACCGGAAGTAGTTCAGGCATAGGGGAGGGTATTGTCAAACTGTTTTCAATATTAGGGGCCAAAGTGGTGGTCACAGGTAGGAAAGATGCAGAAATCCATAAAGTGGCTCAAGAAGTGCAACAGTTATCACCCGACAAACTGAAGGTATAAATGATATATAAATAAATATTTTAATTATATTTTTATAAATAATTGAATGAATTGTTTAAAAAGCCGTTAGAAGTGACGGCAGATCTGACCAAAAGGGAAGACGTCGAGAGACTTATCAATGAAACCATCAAAACGTTTGGACAGTTGGATGTGTTGGTCAACAACGCCGGGATATACCCCACATCTGACATTCACGACAAAAACATCACCGATGAGTTTGATCAGGTGTTTAACATCGACTTAAGGGCTGTCGTGCAGACCACACACACGGCTGTCCCATATCTGGAGAAAACAAACGGCACTATAATTGATATGTCGAGTTGTGCCGCACTTTCACCGGTATTTCATTTTGCATATAATTTCAAACAGATATCTAATCTCATTATATCTATACAACCAAAGTCTGTCTCATACGTGAACTACTGTATGGCAAAAGCGGCTCTAAATATGTTGACAGAGGTATTGGCCCTCGAGTTGGGACCCAAAGGGGTTCGCGTTAATGCCGTCAGGTTTGCAGTCATTTGTTAACTATATATTAATTTCATTAATAACTAATTACATGTATATGACCTGTCTCACACCTACTATATTTAAATTTTATACCCAAATAGTCCGGCCGTAACAGAAGTGGAAGGTATGCCTAAAACACTGATAGACTTGATGACAAAGACAGCGCCCCTGCGACGAGTGGGCGAACCCCTGGATATCGCCAAAGCCGTGGTATTCCTGGCCTCGACTGACGCCCAATACATAACCGGCGAGAATCTGGTGGTCGACGGCGGACAACACTTTGTAGTACCAGGGTTATAACTCGGTAGTCAGTAATATTAACATGATAATATTATTTAGCTACATTTTATGAAAACACGTAATTTTTAATGTATTAACACAAGTATTAAGTAATTATAGGGTAAATAATTAAAAATAGTCATATAATTAAAATAAAAGTTGTGCTTGCTTTAATAAAACGTAATTTTTATATTTTTGGTAACAGTTTAATTATAAATACAAAATAAATTAATTTAAAAATAGTTTGTAATGTATGTGTGTCAGTGACTTAGAATTAAACATTTTCATTCATTATATGAACCACTACTTATAATCCACCACAAACTATGAATTAAAAAAGCTAATTTTGTATATAAGGTACAAGTATTTCAAGTCTGGAGTAAATGTATACATTTCTTATAGAGCTATGAATTCAAGCATTTAATGTTAAACCCAGTATTTTATTGATTATATTTTATTATAAGTGAAGTAGTGTTTGAATTTATTTTTGTTTACGTAACAATATCAATTAATTTAAATATACCATAATGTTTAATATTTACATTATAATATTTGTCTTTTTAATGCAAACAATCAGAAAACTTAATTAATTATATTTCTAATAAATTAAAATTCATATTGTATTATGAAAACACTTCATACTTATTTATTATTCTGTTAACTCCCTTGAAATATAAAGTTTGAAATATTGTATATTAAATATGTTGAAAACAAAAAGTCTTATAATAAAAATATTGATTTATTTCTACCGCATATATGGCATGACATTTGGTGGACTTGTGTTTGAAAACACTGTAAATGAGTGGACATTAAAATGCAGTCAATTCTGGAGATATTTCGGATATTCTGTTACAATAATATTCCTTACATTTACGCTACCATTTTCTCCAATGTTTAACATTTACGAAATTATGTCTTCAAATGCGAACATATTTGGTATAATCATTGTCATCTTAAATGCATTTCAATCATCAATGTCCATTATCATAATCTATTGCATCAATTGGCACTCGTATTCAGTATTTGACAAATATATTACTACTTTCCAAGAGCCACGAGTTGACATAAAAATGTGATTAATAATAAACGGATTTCTACGTAGTTTACCATAATATAATAGAGGTATATTTATTTGAGTATATTTTTACTAGAAGATAATATTGTACAATATATTTTATTATTATATTGGCCTTCTTATTAATTTAATTTTTTTATTAATTGTCATTAACTTTTGAAATAATTGATATTTTATTTAAAAATTAATAAATGTTAAATTTAATTTCTATACTTATTTTATTTTATTTAATTAGATAATTATAAACACAATATAGCATTATACATTTTTCAACTAAAAGTACACAGGTGCAAATAGCACCCACATTGTTCTATAAAAACTTGTCCTTAATTATAAGATAATACTATTATTAATGGCAATACTTTTAAGACATTACAATTATAATAGTCAACTTACCAAGGTCACCTAAATAAATAAACCAATTAAAATAAGGGGTTAAATAATACCGTTTTAACTTAACGATAAATCCAGTAACTTATTAATCAGAAACTCCCAATCATAATGATCTAGTTCAAATTAATTCTCTGGTTGCGTACAAATTATCACTAATGTTTAAACATTTTAATTTGAGTACTGATTATAATTTAAATGTCAGTTAAAAGTGTTGAATGAGTGCAGAGTAAGGTGTACAATTAGTGCACTTCAAAGAGTATATAAAGAAATGTTTGATTGTCTGAAATACAACATAAGAAATATTTAATTTGTTTAATATTTATAAATAAATAATTTTAGAAAAATGAGATCAATATTAGTAATAATTTTAACATTGTTTTCGATAGCAATGGCTGTAAATCCTAACGATTTTCCAACCGCTGACTACTTAGCGGTGAAGAACTCGCGTAACTTTACGGGGAAAGTGGTGTTAGTGACCGGAAGTAGTTCAGGCATAGGGGAGGGTATTGTCAAATTGTTCTCCATATTAGGGGCTAAAGTGGTGGTCACCGGTAGGAAAGAGGCTGATGTCCATAAAGTTGCTCAAGAAGTACAAGAGCTATCACCACAAAAACTAAAGGTATGAATAAAAATAATCAGTTTAAATAACTACTGTATATGCTCTATAATATAAAGAATATTCTTGAATAGTTTTAATAACACGAACGGAAAAACTTGTAAAATAAAAATAATATTTTTATAAAGCCTTTAGAAGTGACGGCAGATCTGACCAAAAGGGAAGACGTCGAGAGACTTATCAATGAAACCATCAAAACGTTTGGACAGTTGGATGTGTTGGTCAACAACGCCGGGATATACCCCAGGGATGAGATACACGACAAGAATATCACTGAAGAGTTTGATTTGGTGTTTAACATCGACTTAAGGGCTGTCGTGCAGACCATTCACACGGCTGTCCCATACCTCGAGAAGACTAACGGCACTATCATTGACATGTCAGCTGTTCTAGCAATTGTCCCTGTACAGTACATCACTTTAACAATCAATTATTCATTATTTTATTTATAATATAAATCTCTACCCAAAGGCTCCATCGGTTTTGAACTACTGTTCCGCGAAAGCGGCGCTAAATATGTTGACAGAAGTATTGGCCCTCGAGTTGGGACCCAAAGGGGTTCGCGTTAATGCCGTCAGGTTTGCAGTCATTTGTTAAATCACTTCATAATTAATATTTATTTATGAAATAAAATGTTAACAAATATCTCTTATTAATCAATAGCCCGGCCTTAACAGAAGTGGAAGGTATACCCAAAGCAATGATAGAGTTAGTGTCAAAGACAGCACCCCTGCGACGAGTGGGCGAACCCCTGGATA